TAAAAAAAAAAAAATCTCTGAAAGTATAAAGCAAACAAAAATTGCCTTTTATTCCTCTACCCAGAGATAAAACAATTGAGTTTATCCAGCATTTTTTATCTTCGTATTTTTCCTCTTTTTGTCTTCTTCCTATTAGCGTTTTAAAATGCCCACATCCTTTCCATCCTGAGCAAATGAATATATAAAATCCTTTCTGATAATCTCAGCCTTCTGGTTTCCTATATTAGCTTCCCTTTCAGAGTAAACTATTGAAAGAATATTGCTTTCTCCTCTTTTCAGTTTTGTTTCTACCCTCTCAGGGTCCAAAAACTGCCAGGGTCACTAACAACTACACTGCTGGCACATTCGGTGGGTGTTTTCAGTAGTTACCTCACTCTTTTCCCAGGCGGCATTTGCTTCCTTCTCAAAACACTCTTCCATGGGCTTCTACCGTACTTTTCTCTTCCTTGGTTTCCCTTATGTTTCTTTGGCCACTTGGTTTCTTCAGCAGGGTACCGTCTACCCTATACCTGTTTTTCAAGCTGCCTCTTCCTGGAAACGTTCATTCACTCCCATGGTTTCAGTAACTCTCAAATCTCTATCTCTATCTCTGGTTTCCGTTTCTTCTGAGTTCCAGGTCTGTTTCTCTCAACTACATGGTGGACTTAATGATTCTACAAATAGACTCAATACGTCCAGACACAAATTCATCTTATCTCTTTTTAAAGCCTCTTCTTTCTGTCTTAGTGAATGACATTCACTTGTCCAAGCCAGAAACCAGCGTCATCTTTAATTCCTCTGTCTGCCTTACCCCTCACACGTGAACACTCACCAAGAGCTACCCGTTCTCTCTGCCAAGTATCTCTGGACTCGTTCTCATTTGCCAGTGCAACTAACATAGTCCATCCCAGTGTTATTGGGGCCACCTGTAAATGACTTCTGTCTGCTCTCCTGACCGTATTATCCTCTTCTCTGTCCAGATCCACTTTCCATACTGCATCTAGAGTGATCTTTCAAAAGTAAATTTAGTCCTTGTTCCCCTTAAATAGCTCCCTTTACCTATAGGATGAAAGCTAAATTTCTGCCCTGTGTTCCAAGGCCTTCATGAAACTAGTCCCTTGGTAGCTCTCAGGCTTCACCTCCCTCCCACGACTCCCTCTCCCTCACTGCTGCATGCCCTTTTTTGCAGTTACACTGGAGAATGTTATTTTTCTCTTCTAAGCCTTTATACTTGATTTTTTTCTTTGCTTACAGTATTTCTCACTATCTCTATTTACTGTTTGCAAAACCAGGTTTTACATCCTGCCGGTTTTCTTCTTAATTGGTCATTTCCTCTCACTTTTCTTCTAACCTGGCCTAGATTCTCTTGGTACAGTCACTCTGTACTTCAGTAGCATCATACATAATACATTTCCTACTTCGTGACAGTTCTTGCACTTTTATGTCTGAAAATATATGAGAATACATTCTCATATCTGCTGGATTCTTATATCTGCTTTTATATTCAATCTGTCGTATAGCCCCTAAAAGACGCCATTGTACCCTTGTAAGAGGATAAAAGTGAACAAAATAAATAAGGTCTTTGTATTATTAGGGAAATAGTTTTGACCTTGTGTGAAAAGATCTTGGGAACCCCTGGGTGTCCCTGGACTACACTTTGAAAACCACTGCTTCATGGCAGTCACATTATTTGTCTCTTTCCCTCTGACTATTTGCTGTGAGAGTAGGGCCCAGAGCCACCTTGCTCCCTTAGGTATCCCTAGGGACTGGAACCGTGCTCTCCATGTAAAAGGTTCTCAGATACCTATTAATTGATTCACTTATTCAATTACTTAGTTGGTTCAGTTCTCAAGAAATAGACATCAGGCACTGGAGACTTTTGCTGTATATGTACAAAAGAATTGCAGTCTGTAGGCATTTCTTGTACCCCAATTTTACTGGGGCATTTGGCTATAATATTTTGTACATAATGTCACAAGAGTATAATTTTCATTTGGGCTTAGTTAATGTTGAGGTGAAAAGAAACATGAATTGGTTTTTGTCATTGATTTTTAAAATGAAGATGTATGGATATGGGATGATATGAATAAATTTAAACTAAGCTACGAAATATTGTCTTACGTTTGGAAAGTCCAGTCTTCTCTGTTATTTCTGCTTGACTAGATAGAAGGGGTGAAAATGCGTTGTTCTGTTTATTTGTTGTCAAGGAAGTAGTTTAGGAAAAACCCACAGGAAATATTTATTTGGAAAAGGTTGTTAGGTAACAAATAGGAGATTCTAGTCTATCTTAAATGCTTGCCAGAAAAACTGACCACTTATTCAATGTGGACTTGAAAAGTACATTTAAAGTGGCGGTGAAGCAGGAAAAAGGGAAACAGCCTGAAACATAGCTTACTAATTATGTGTTGTCTGGTTTCCATGAAAGCCTTAATTAGAAAGAAAAGGAAAAGATACGCTTTTTATTACAACTATAAGTTCAGCATTTAGGACGTGTCATTATAGCAGATCACCACACTATGTAACCCACCCTTGAAAATCATGAAGTGCAAATACATTAATTATGGCCCTACTAAAATTTGGGTTCTTAACTTCAGGCTTCATCTTAACCTGCTTTAGAGCATTCATGATAATAGGTAATTGCCATGATAATAGGTATAGGACTTGAAACAACTAGGATATTTTTGTTTTGTTTTTCAAACAAAACAGACTTTGAACTTCAGACGTAAATTTCCCATATTGTAAATTAGTGGCTTATTTATTTGGCCTATATAGGGCATCTAATACAGTGCCATGTATTTGATGTATTTTGGTGACATTTTGAATGGAGGCAAATGAGAAAATGGCTCTGGCACCAAGTGTTTACTAAATAGCTCTTTCATGGGACAGAGTGTTTGTTAGTGAAGTAAATTACTCAGGTCAAGTGGCCTAACCAAGTGGCCTAACTTTTTCTTACTAATATATTTTTTAACATTTCTAGGCTATATGGTTCATCTGGAAGTTTTTTCATATTGTGGCCACACTGCAGCTTGACACCACTTCCTGTATTAGAGAATGGACTGTGCTGTGATTTTAACTTGCCCCTTAAAGAAAGGGTTATTAGGTGATGAAACTTTTACATTATCTTTGTGAGGTTCTGGTGGGTTAGCAGGCTTCCCTTTTATCAAGGAAAAGGTCTTCTTTATCTTTGTTCCTACTTGTAGAACATTTATTCCTCCTTTGTAAGAAGGATGAGGATAAGCCTGTTTATTTTGTATACAGTTGACCCTTGAACAACTTGGGAGTAAGGGGAACTAATCCCCCTGTACAGTCAAAAGTTCATGTATAACTTTTGACTCTCCCAAATCTTAACTATTAAAAGCCTACTGTTGACCGGAAGCCTTACTGATAGCATAAACAGACTATTAACGTATTTTGTTTGTATATGTATTATATAATATATTCTTAAGTAAGCTAGAGAAAAGAAAATCATAAGGAAGAAAAAATACATTTACAGTACTGTATTGTGTTTATCAATACTGTAAGTTTATGTCATCTGTATATAAGGCAAATCATCTGTCTGACATGGCAGGCAACTGTAGCTGCAGACCTCAATCTACAGTACATATCAAGCAATTCAACTTCATCTTGAAATGTCATGACTTTTCTCTGCTTCTTGGGAGCACTTCCAGCATCACTAGTGGCACTTTGTAAGGGTCCCATGGTGTTGTTACTCAACGTTTACACTAAACATGAACTGCTTACAAGATGATTGGCATCATGTGGCATTTTAAGTGGATACTCACAATTCTTGAGCTCACTGCAAGCAACAGGAGGTAGCTATGAAATTATTACAGTAGTACAGTATGTACTACAGTTAATTTTATGCAATTCTGATTTAATGCAACATCTTTATGTTTGTTTACATTTCTCTCGACTTCTAATGGTGCCATATATGGTCTGTAAGTGTGTGTGTTAGTTTTGATAAATGTTAACTTTTTACAATAGATTCATGTATATTTTATAGTAGTAAATGATAAAATAGACTAATATCACATATTTTATGCATTCATGCCATACCTAACTTTTTCTTACTAATATATTTTTTAACATTTCTAGGCTATATGGTTCATCTGGAAGTTTTTTCATATTGTTGCAAGTCTTCAAAAAATTTTCCAATATATTTGTAGGAAAAAATCCACGTATCAGTGGACCAAGAAGTTCAAATTCGTGTTCAAGGGTCAACTGTATTTTATACGTGTGATTCAGCTCTTACTTGCTTGTTAACAAAGTGACAGTGTAAACTCATTTCTGTATGAGTATTTAAATTTTACATGCCAGAGACCTTGGCATGTTATGGGATGAAATATTTTACTCCCTTTCTTCCTTCTAGCACAACATTCTGAAATTTTTTGGTCATTGCAACGATCTTGATCGGAAGATGAGAAAATGCTTGAAAAAAGAGGTAAGAATATTGTCAAAAGATGGAAATGGTTGAACAATGGAACAGAACATTTTTGAATATTACATATTTCTGCCATTATTGAATTTTTCTCCAGATTTTAGTATCACAGAGAAAATTCACATGTATGATCTCCCTTCTAACACCAAGAGAAGAAATGAAGGCCTCTTCTGGATACAGTTTTAGAACATTTCTCTTTTTTTTGCCATGCACACAGATGATGAAAACAGCTTCCTTATTATAATCACCGTAACTCATCTGGATGAATTTTAAGGTTTGGGAAACTGAATGTCTGGTCAGCAGAAAGACTTATGTCAATCAGCTATTTGCTAATTAGCAGGTAACTAAAACTCTCTGGGCCTCAGTTTCCATATATAAATTGAGGAGGCTAGACTTAGGCTCTTTCCAGGTCTAACATTTTGAATTTCTTTGTAGTTATGCCATGGGGATGTAATTTGACTAGTTTGGGAAGACTGTCATATCCTGAACCTGGTTTTAGACCCAGTTTGACTTGGACAAATGACCAGAGTACAAAGTGCGTTGTCATTTTCCAGGTACTCCATGTTCTAGAGTAGTGTTTTTGTTTTTTTTCCCCCCAATAATTTTATGAGCAAACTTAACGTATGACACATAAAAGGAATGGCTTTGAAGGGACCTGGTACTTCATCTGTAATTTGCAGTAGTCTTTTGATGAGGAAGGAAAAAAAAGTTTGAAAACTACCATTCCAGAAGCTCTGTTAGAGTCCTTGAGTCAAAACCTTTGACCTAGAAAACTTCTTGAAGATTGTCTAGCCCGACTTATATGTGAGGTTATTGGACCAGGAGAGTGAAGTAACTCAGTCACAAATCTGCACACTACTTTCTCTCAGGGGTGCTGGAAGGGGTTCTAGCCATGTCCCTGGTTAGCTGTCTGTCACTAATCATTCATTTCAGTGGCCTGTATTTCCATATCTGTGGCTCCTAAAAGATTTTGATGTTCAACTGTACACATATACTCAGTTTTTTGAATTTGGATTTACTTTTACTATTTTGTCCCTCTGTTCAGGGGAAAAATATTCATTCACCTTTAAAATAAATTTGTATTGGTATATTTATTTTTTATTTTTTTATTTTTCTGAGACAGAGTCTCACCTCTTGCCTGGGCTAGAGTGCCGTGGCATCAGCCTAGCTCACAACAACCTCAAACTCCTGGGCTCAAGCAATCCTCCTGCCTCAGCCTCCCGGGTAGCTGGGACTACAGGCACGCGCCACTGTGCCTGGCTAATTTTTTCTATTTTTAGTTGTTTGGCTAATTTCTTTCGATTTATAGTAGAGATGGGGTCTTGCTCTTGCTCAGGCTGGTCTCGAACTCCTGAGCTCAGACAATCCACCCGCCTCGGCCTCCCAGAGTGCTAGGATTACAGGCGTGAGCCACTGCGCCTGGCCTTTATTGGTATATATATTATAAGCATGTGAATATATACATATAGAAACACTTAATAGTCAGGTTTCTCTGCTTTAAACATAAGGTAACCATTTGAGAAAATCTAAGTGCTTTTTACATGCCAGACTCTGTGTTTCCTGTTAGTTGTAACCTGAATAGTAGGCTGAAAATCTCTTAGGTGAAAACTGCATGTAGATGCAACTGATTATAGAAACAGGATTTGGGGAGAATCAGCTTTGATGACTGTTTATAATGAAAAAATCCTGGGAAGATTGGCTGACTGTATGTTTCCATATGAGTTAATAGGATAATATGGCTGCTAAGAGCCAGTTACTCTTTTGATAATTTCTGTAGGAATATAATGTGACAAGGTCATAAGATCTAGGCCCACTGTAGTCCATGTCTATCAACATGTCTAGAGCACTATATTCAGTCGTGGTTGTGATTTTTTTTTTTTTAAATGAGGGCTATGAATGTTAAAGTGCTTTATGAAATAAAAGTCATTTTGTTGGTAAGATATTAGAAGGCAGAAGCCATGTTCTGTGGAACAGTTGTAGAAACCAGCAATGTTCAGGCTGAAGAAGAGGTAATGAATGGTTATCTATAATTGGATGTTTGAAAATTATAGCAAGCAAGAAGAAATAGAAGGCAGTAGGAGAGTTTACAGGGAAACACTTTTTGGTTCAACATAAAAAACTGTGGAACAAGTAGAACTGTCCAGCGGTTAAACAGGTTACCTGTCAAGGTAGTGAGCCCCTCCTAACTAGAAGTGCTCAGCAGAAGTTAGAGGACTTGCTATACTGTGAGCCCCTAGAGAACAGGGACAGAACTCATCCATCTTAAATACTTACTGAATTCATATGTTGGGAGGAAATTGATTCAGCAAATATTTTTGGGCCTGTTAGGATGTAGGTGTTATACCGTATTGAATGAAATTGTACTAGATGTCCTCACAGGTCACTGTTTCGGATCTCAGAGTCAGTGACATGAAAGATAAACGAGAATTTTGTCAGCAAAAACATTTTTATTTTGCAAATACTTCTAACTATTTAACTATAAATGGTGACATAATCTGCTGTTTCTTCTCTCCCCCTTCTTCCTTTTATTTTCCAGTACATGGAAAAGAGGACCAAGAGCAGGGAGCTTGGTGAAGCGATGCGAAAGAGACTTGTGAATCCTCCAAAGGAATCTGAAAAATAAATTATATTTCCATTGGATGCCTTGGCTGAGAGAAGACTCTTGGTTGATAGCTGAAAGAATCCTATCTTATTTGTTCTCCAGAATCCTTTGAATGGAAAGTGACCCGTGAGAAATTGGACCGTGGAGAAATATTGAAAACCCTGGATTCTGAATATCTGTTGGGAAGAGCCTTTAGTACCATCCCTCCCCTACCAGCAAACCTGACTTCTACCATGTTTCTTCCCTTTGTTTACAACCGGTTAACATTTGCGTAACTTAACTTCCTCAATAAAATACTTTATTTAAATAATTTTTTCCACTTTCTCTTAGACTCTTTTGGAATTAGGACAAAATGGTACCATTTGGCTTCCCTTTTTGACAACGCGATGATTCTAAAGCTTAAACATTGAAGACATAAGCTAGGGCAAAAAGATTTCTGGGGAAATCCCAGGAGTATTAATTAACTATATGAAAATGTTCTGATGTTATTGTTTTTAAGGAATGATTTTCTAAAATATTAAATATTTAATATTGATAAAATAGCATCTGGTTAGGATTTAAGTTTTAGCAGACTTTGCTTCCCCATGTGGTTGAATGTGCTCACTCTAGGTGCCAGTTAAGTCCTGGGCATTAACCTTGAGCCAGTGTCTATCCTCTGCTGGGTACAGGGCTCTTCTTCTCATGCTCAATTCTAGCAGTCATCTCGCCAGTGTTCCTTCTGCCAGGTGTTCCTGAGGCCTGTGACAATCTGCAAGTCAGCAACTTGCAGCTACAACCACAGCAGGAGTTTGGTCTTTTTCTCAGGTAGGTGTCAAGGAACAGACTGAGCTGTGAGCTCCTTCCAGTGGAATTCTGTATATAATGTCCAGCATGAGGCCTTGTTGGTGTCAGTATTTAGGAAGTGGATTTCTCCATCACAGGAGGTGTTCAAGAAGCTGGACGTTTACACTTAGCAAGGCAATTACAGAGGATAACACATTCAGTGAAGGGGTGGGGGAGGACCCACAATTAATTCTGAGGTCCCTGACAAGACAGATTGTATGAATATTTTAGTTCCCTGAGTGTCAGGCAGTACACTCCGGTACAGAAGTGAGACATTTTGCCGTTAGAATCTTGTAGTAAACTGACAAGTTGATTATTAGTCAACTCTAATCATGAATTGCTGTGATTAGGTAGGTGACATGGAAAACACAGAAAGGGTATCCATGCCCAGTCCTTCAGTGACCTTTGACAAACGAGTGTAAATGGGATACATTCTAGGGAACTTTAAGTCATTTAGCATGACTGGTATATGGGAGCTGGTAGTAGAAGATCACAAACAGCTTTGAAATCTGTGGGAATATTATCTTCAGTGCTGTGGTGGCCAGTTACAGATTTTAATAAAGTGATCAGGGATTTGGGGAGAGGGGTTAGTTGGAGGGGCGCTGTACTTCAATTTGTATTTTAGTAAGATTTTTTCTGGTATAGTTTGGAGTATTAATTGGAAGGGAAGGAAGATTACACCCAGGGAAACCAATTAGAGTTTTGTCCGAACTTCAGTTAGAATCGAAGCCCGGAATTAAAGATGTCTTTGGGGATCAAGAGGAATGACTGGCTTTGGGCAGAGGATCGGTGTGACTGAGTAGGTAAAGGATTTAAGGAAGAGTCTGTGATGTCTCGGGTGTTCAGTTTGTGCCTGCATTCTGATGGCACCCTTCCTCGATGGCGAGGGAGCACTGGAGAGGTGTGGTGTTGGGGGAGGTCCAGATGGAGATGGCATGGGCTGCGCTGGGTGTTCAGGTCTGGAGCTCATTAGCGTTGCCTGGGCTAGAGCAGAATTGGGAGATGTCAGCATGCAGATGGTAGCTAAAGCCCTGTAGCCCAGTGTTGATAGGTGACTGTGTGAGTTGTTTTATAGAGCAGAATGAAACTTTGGAGTTGACTTAATTTTGAAGAAATTAGGTAGGTGTTATATGAGTACATTTTTATGGGATATTCAAACAACTTTAAGTTTTATAGAGTAAAAGTTTGGTATCGTCCTTCATATCCCAGTATCACTTGACTCCCCAGAAGTATCTACAGTTGACAGCTGGGTAGGTCTTCTGTGTGTTTAAATCCAGGGACAGGAGGAGGAGCCCCATGTGTGGGAGAAGGAGCAGACACACAAGCAGAAGGTAGACCATAGAGGATGGTGCCATAGATTGCCAAGGCGGTTGGTTTCGGAGGAGGAAGTGTCATTGGATCACAGGGCTGAGGTGGTTCCTCTGCCATCTGTCACCTTAGAGCCATCTGAGTGAGGAGGGAATGGAAGCTGAAGTGGAGCTGGAGGGCGTTCACACATTTGAAAAAGCTTGTCTCTGTAGGGAAGGATGGTGTAAGCTCAAGAGGGTCTTCTTACAAAGTCAGAAGAAAAAGGTGGGTGGCACTTGGGAATGGGTGTATGTTGAAAATGCCAGAAAAGGAGGGATTAGTTTATGGAGTGATGTCGATGAGGTTCAGAGCCCATGCCGACCACGATTTATTTTACTCGGAAAACAAATAAGAACCTGAAAACTGGAAGCATTGTGGAAAATGTAAAGTATTCCTTTTAGAGAGCAGCAACTACTTATTTTTGCAGGATGCAATGCTGTTTCTTCTGTAAAGAATTAAGAGCACAGGCTCTGTTTCTGCTCTTTGATGACCAAAATCTCAGACACACTAACATGGTCACCCATAACCAGTGATATCTTGGTGAATGTTTAATAACTAGGTTCGCTCTCAAAAAACAAAAAACAAAAAAAGCACTATTTGTGGCATTTACCATTTTCTATGGTGTAAATACTCCCACCATGGCAGATTTCAAACTACCGACCTGATGTCACTGAGGGTGGAGTTGGCAAGAGATGCACATGGTGGGCTCTCCTGAGCTGGCGCGAGCTGACTGCAGCCACCACAGCCACTGCCCTGTGGAGGGAACCGCAGAGCGTCGAGTCAGTTGATTTCCCACCGGCAGTCACCTTTCCCGCCTCCAGCATGTTTGTCAGTCAGAAGTACCTGCACCCCGTGGTGTACACTAGAGCGAGACTGTTTTGACTTCTGTGACAGCAGCTCGAGCTCCTGGGGCAATCACTTTGTAGAAGAGTGAATAACCATATGCCAGGTGGATTTAGGAAGGAAATGGGACCTGCCTGTGCCATGGTGGTTGGACTCGTGCCCCAGGAGCTCAGATGCCTCTTGCCTTCACCCCCATGCTGCTTAATTGTGTGACCTTGATAGCCATCTCAAGGACAGTTTGCATGGGCTGTCTTTCAGCTGTTACCTGGCTGACTTCTGACAGGGTGCTTAGCCTCTGGATTTCAACTCTTTTATTTTTATTGATTTTTTTTAGAGACAAGGTCTCACTATTTTTCCCAGGCTGGTCTTGAACTCCTGGCCTCAAGTGATCCTCCTGCTTCCGCCTCCCAAAAGTGCTGGGATTACAGGTGTAAGCCACTGTGCCTGGCCTCAACTCTTATTTTTAAAATGAGATTGCTGGGCAACATAGCGAGACCCTGTCTCTACAAAAAAGAAAAAAAAAAGAAAGGAAAAATTAGCAGGTGTGGTGGCACACACCTGTAGTCCCAGCTGCTCAGGTGGTTGGTCTGGGAGGATCGCTTGAGCCCAGGAGTTTGAAACTGCAGTGAGTTAGGATGATGCCACTTCACTTCAGCCCGGGTGACAGTAAAACCCCATCTCAAAAAAAAAAAAAAAAGGAAATGAAATGAGGTTGCTGGACTAGTTGACTTGTTTACCACTGAATCGATAGATTCATAGTACTTCAGGCCTAAGCACTGAATAATCAGTAGGAGGCAATGTTCTTTTGCCACAAACAAATCTATGACGTGAGAGCAATTTGGCCTGGGTGTTTTTGTTGCTTTGTGTTGTTTTCCATCCCATCTAGGCCACAGCTTCCTGTCCTCACATCTCTCACGGCTGCTGGGAGCCACCTTTACTAAGAGGAGTAGATCAGTACCCTTCAGGAGTATTGTGGTTCAGTGGAGGGTCTCAAAATCCTGTTCAGGACTTTTCTTCCTTGCCTAGGCCCACCTCTATCCACGCAGCCCTCTGCACTGCCAGGGAAAGCCCCTCCCACCCCAAGCCACGGCCGTTATATTCCAGCTTTTCCTGCTGCCTTATAGAATAAAGCACATACTCAAGGCCGTGGCAATATGAGCTTGATCTACCTTTCTAGCTCCTCCTAGGGAGGGAGTTTGAGAAAGAAAATGTAATGGAGCACAGTGCGCACAGTGCGCAGGGGAGAGAAGGTGGAGGGAGCTGAGGAGAGAGGGACATGCAGGCCTTGGAAACCACAGCAAGGAGCTCGGATGGACTTGGAGGTTAGTGGGAAACCATTAGCAGGTTTTAAGTAGGGATTGGTTATGATCTCATTTATCTTTATCTTATAAAGATCTTTTTGGTTGCTGGGTGAATTGTCGTGGTTAAACTAATTCAACCTAGTGACAGCACCAGTCACATACTGTGAAGATTCGTTGAGATGTATGCAGTAACAAATTATCTGGCACAAAGTAAGGGCCCTCTCAATATTGTTATTCTAATAAGTGCATCCAAATTTGGGTACTAGAAACACTTGCCCTGCACTTTGGTAGAATGCCCCAAACCGTCTGGGCTGGTCCCGTTTGGGCAGGGCCCCAGCTGATGGGGTAGGGGTCCAAGGGGTGAGGCACTGGTAATGAGGCAGGGGGAAGAGCCAGGCCCTCAGGACTCATCCCAGCCTGGCCCTATTCCCTGGCTCCCTGTACATCCCACCTTTCCACAGAGGAAGCCAGTCCCGGGAGTGGCTGTATCTTTTCCCCTTGTCACACCACCTCTGGTTACATCTCATTTCCAGTCTGATGTCCTCCAGCCTACAGACGATCACAATGAGATCTTACACTTTCCCTCTCTGGGGCAAGCATACTTCCTCCTGAGGATTCCCAAGTACTTAAAAAAAATTTCCTCTTGCAGTAGAGGCTAGAGGGAGATCGTGGTGGGGAGGGGCAGAGGCCCTCTGTCTTCTTGCCTCTATTGAGTACCTGGCACTGTGCTGGGTGCTGGCGATACAGTGATGAACAAGATGGGTGCGGTGCCAGTGCGGGCTCATGTCAGGACGGACCATCTTGGCTTGCTTTCTGAGGGCAGTGGGAGGCACTGTAAGGTCTGCGCAGGATGCAGAGTGGAGAAATAGATTTACTCTGCCTGTAGTTGACTTCCATTGCCTTGGGGTCATAAGGGACCATCTCTTGAAGAGCTCAGGCCAGGGTTTTCCTGAGAAATCTAATTTTGCAGAACGCTGTAAGCCTTGGTGCTCTGGTC